TCGATCTACGTTCCCACCCTCGTCTATGGCCACGAACTTTGGGTAGTGACCGAAAGAACGAGATCCCAGATACAAGCGGCCGAAATGAGTTTCCTCCACAGGGTGGCTGGGCTCTCCCTTAGAGATAGGGTGAGAAGCTCGGCCATCCGGGAGGGGCTCGGAGTAGAGCCGCTGCTCCTCCACGTGGAGAGGAGCCAGTTGAGGTGGCTCGGGCATCTGATCAGGATGCCTCCTGGTCGCCTCCCTGGGGAGGTGTTCCGGGCTCGTCCCACCGGGAGAAGGCCTAGAGGAAGACCCAGGACCCGCTGGAGGGACTATGTGTCCCGGCTGGCCTGGGAACGCCTCGGGATCCCCCCGGAGGAGCTGGTGGAAGTGGCCGAGGAGAGGGAAGTCTGGGTTTCCCTGCTCCGGCTGCTGCCCACGTGACCCGACCCCGGATAAGCGGGGGACAATGGATGGAAGGATGGATGGATAGAGATTTAATTCAGTTTGGTTCAGAGGGTCCAAGAAGCTTATTTACAACAAAAACCAGGTCTGCAGAAAGTTGCTGATTGGACCAGTTCAATCAATTTGACCAGTTTGGCCACTTTGACCAGTTTGACCAGTTGAACCAGTCTGACCAGTCTCATCAAAATGACCACTTAAACCACTTGAACTAGTTTGACCAGTGTAACCAGTCTAACCAGTTTGACCATTTGAACGCAAACATAAAAACTTAAAGCCAAAGTTGAGTGAGCGACCTGTGTATCCTCGCTTAGGAGCCTTGGCACTCCGACTGATGATGAAACCTTCTCGTTAACTGGGACCAGTTCAAGACAAACAACCCCGAGCCGCCCAGTTCCACTCAGGTTCTGGTGCTGAGCGGCCCGCCGTGGCCACTAATAGAGGCCGCTGGGAGCGGCCCAGCCTCCCGCTGTCTACTGGGAGCATATCCTGAATATTTAATGCAGCTAAATGAAATCTGAGGGGACTGAAGGGACCATGTGGGGCGTCCTCTCTGGGACCAAAACCAAAACAAGCAGAAGTCATCCCAGCGTCTGTGGAGACAAAGGAGATGTGAGAGCCTCCAGTAAAAGCTGACATCTGCGCACATCTGCATGTTTTCAAGGAAGAGAGAGTTGAAGACAACCAGATCTACTGATTATAATAATGATAAACTCAGATATTCAACAGTTTTTTTTCCTCAGATGCTGTTCAATTCAAAAAGCTTTATTCATCCTGAGGGGAAAAAACAGGCTGAAAATAAAGAAATGCAACTAAAGGAGTGACCAGGTGCTTAAACTGGCCAGAGATTAATCATAGCAGCCTTTTAAAAATAAAACAATAAGTACTAAACAGAGGAATGATAAGTGGTAAAATGATAAAAAGTGTTAAAGTAGATAAATGCAACTAAAGGAGTTACCGGGTGTTTGTGATTGCAGCCTTCTTAAAATACAACAATTACTAAACAGAGAACTAATAAGTGATAAAGTGAAGAAGTAGAGCGCTTGGCTTTTAACTTTGTAGAATATTCCAACAAAGCTTAATTCCTTAACCTGTTTCATTAGTTTCCTCTTTCAGCAAAATGTTAAAAATGGAATCCAACAGGGGTGAAAAGTCTCATCCAGTCAAATGCTAAAAGGAGTCAATTTGGTAGAAGTTCCCTTTGACATATGTGGACCATTTGCTTTTGTTTTTTTCCCCCCTTGTCGTGTTTGGCATTGTGGCAACAGATTTGTAATCTGAGTGCCGTGCTGTGCCCGACACTTTTGCTTTGTCCTGTAGTCACCGTGGGCAAACCCGAGGGAGAACCTGCAAACAAGCACTACGGGGGGACATACACAAACTAACAAACACAAACAGCAAAATAATACTGCAGACAAACCCGGGGGAGAACCTGTAGAAGCACCTGCAAGCAGACACAAGGAAGAGACACACACAAACAGGCAGCAAAAACTGAAGGCCGCCACGACACTGGAAGTAATGGCAGACAGGATATATTTCAGATTCTGGACAGCAACGGCACAGAAGCTCAAAGGTGTGTGTCTGGGCAAATGAGTATGTGTGTGTGTGTGTGTATAAGCACCGACGTGCAGAACACACAACCCAGGTTTCACACAGATTGTGCTCAGCTAAGCATGCATGGGGGGGGGGATGTCCACAGACACTTGTCTGTTTATGTGTCTTTGTGGTTGTGGGTCCCAGTGTAATGAACGCGATAAGGACCCAGGAGCAACCAGAGGCGTACGGTCAGTTAAACAAGGTTTATTGGCAGACAGGGGCTGGGCAGAGGCGTGGTCAGAACAGTCCAGGTTCGATAACGGGTGGTCCAGGCAGCGCAGATAATCCAACTCATGGTGAGGGGCTGGTCGAGGGTCAAAGCCAGGGGAGCAATCCAGGGGAGCAGGCGGGAGCACGTAGTCAGGCCGGCGAGGTCGGAACTCGGGGAGGCAGGCAGGATCCAGAGACTGGCGGGCAGATCTTAGGCAGGCAGACTAAACAGACCGGGATCAGGCAAGCTCGGGAGTCGGAGTCAGACGGGTCGTGATCAGGCAGACAGAATAAGGATACAACACTGGAAGTACTCACACAAAGGTTCGATACGTTCTGGCATTGAGTTCAGGTAAGCACGGAGAATATATGGAGGTGGGAACAGGTGAGGGTGATGAGCGCTGATTGCGGGGTGAGTAGCTGGGCAGGTGTGCAGATGGGGGTGGAGCCAGCTCCAGAGCCGGGAACATAACACCCAGAGAGATTTGTTCTGTTTTTGAAGGGGAGAGTTTTTCTATTCCTGGATGCTTCCTGTACGATGTCCTCTACTGCTCAGCCTCAGAACAGTAGAGCTGTTGGACTGGTGTTTCTGGAGAAAGTGATGTACACCACTCTGACTACAGCCACATGTTGTGTGTTCCTCTTCATTAATGGGACCATGTTGTACACTCTGAGGAGCAAACCGGTGTTCAGGAAAACTTGCTGCTATTTTCTCCTGTACAACCTCCTGTTTGCTGTCCAATTTGTGATGAGTCAGATATTGTACATACTGTCTATCGGCAGGATATACAGTATGTAACATATAGTCTGTATGGCGTCCTCTACTTGCTCGGCAATCTCTCAATCTCACCATGATTTTCACACCTGTATATAATGACAGAGCTACACCTTTTATCTGTTTGTTTCTGCTGCTCTGGCCATCAGCCCCACCTATGTTGTTGTAATTTTGGCAGCCAAGTCAGCCTCCACTGACAAAGCTTCAGCTCTCAAGGCTCGTAACACTCTGCTCATGCATCTGCTGCAGCTGGGCCTCAGCAACTCCTCAACCATTCACAGCCCACTGCTGTTTGCCATCTATAAACTTGTCGTCCTCAGTAGATTTTTACGTGTCCAGGTTGTATTCTATGTTTTCATTAATATTTTCCCCAGATGTGTAAGTAAACTCATCTATGGCCTCAGAGATCAGACCAAGATAGTGGAATGACCTACCAAGCTCTACTAGAACAGCAGCGTCCCTTTCTATTTTTAGGAAACTCTTAAAGTCCTTCAAAGAGCATCTCTTATCCTGACTCTTACCCATACCTTTGTACCCCCCTACTACTCTTTCTGCACTTTCTTCTCTCTCTCTTCCTGTCACCACTGATTCTGACTAGGGATTTTCCTCTAGAGAACTTATTGATGATAACTGTAAAATTGTGTCTACTTTGTCAGTCGCTTTGGATAAAAACCTCTGCCAAATGCATTCACATAAACATAAACATACAGCTGTAGTGACGATAAAAAAATTGATTTACTGCCAACACAATCCTACAACATCCATAATCTTGAGGAACTCCAGCCAAATCTCATCCACACCCCGATCCCTGAAAGGAGCACCAGAGACTGGAGAGGCCAACCCAAGGTCCCCAGATGATGGACCAGAATCAACTCGAAGCCCTACGTTTTCCATGGATTCTCCAAACTCCTCCCATGCACTTGTTTTTGCTTCAGCAACCACATGGGCTGCATGCCGCTTGGACTGCCGATACCTAACTTCTGAAGTCCCAGAGGCCAGAACGGCCCAATAGGATTCCTTCAGCCTGATGGCTTCCCTTACCGCCGGGTACAAGTGTCACCACCAGGACAGGATCTCTTCAGCACCCCTTCAATGAATCCATAAAGGGTAGATAGTCTGAACTGCTGTTTGGTGTAAAGGCACAATCCTCCATCAGGACCCATCCCCCTGACCGAAGGCAAAGGGAGGCTACCCGCAAAGGGAAGCTACACTCAAAGGAGGCTACTCTGAAAGGGTGGCTACCCTCTCATTCAAGTTCAAGACGGGGCAACAAGTTCAATTCAATTCAATTTTATTCATATAGCGCCACATCAGAGCAGGTCAGACCCTACTCTGAAGTTAATTACAGTAACCCAACAATTCCCACCATTAGCAAGCACTAGGCGACACAAGCAAGAAAAAACTTCCTTTAACAGGCAGAAACCTCGAGCAGAACCATGGTTCTGTAATGCTCCCGGCACTGGGGCTGGCTCCACCTACCGGCACTCCTGACCACCTCCCACACCCGCAATCACCTTCATCATTCCCACCTGTTTCCATCCCTACTTAAGCTCCGCTTCAGCCAGACCTCAATGCCAGAACGTCTCGAACCTTTACCGGTAAGAACTTCCAGCAATCATCCTAGTTATCTGCCTGCCTGTGCTCCGATCTGTCTTCGCCTCCGTTTCCTGAGTCTGCCTTACCCTCGTCTGATTTGTCTGCTTACCTGTCTGCCTTCCCGTGCATCGACCCCGCCTGCCTGACACCGAGTTCCCGCCTGCCCCTCTGGACTGCTTCCCCGGCTCTGACCCTGGACTGGACCTGGACACTCCTGTTGGATTACCCTGAGACTGTCGCTTAAGTATTGCCCTCCTCGTTGCCGGACCCGGACTCCCTTGACCACGCCCACGGATTATCCCTCTCGCCAGAATAAACTTTGTTTCATCTGACGTTCTGTCTTTGGGTGTTTTGGGGTTCCAAATCAGATCGTGACAGGTTCAGGGTGGGCGGCCATCTGCCTCGGCCGGTTGGGGGTGAGGGAAAGAGAGGGCAAGAGAGAGAGAGAGAGAGAAAGAGAGAGAGAGGGTGAGAGAAGGACAGAGGGAGCAGAGAGAGGCAGCTAACACAGCAACACATAGACTAAATGAAAAATGGCAATGATATTAATACTAATGATAATGGTAGAAGCTATGACAGCAATAATACAATGCAGAGTAGTAGGAGAGCAGGAACACGGGGGCAACAGGAAACTCCCAACCACAGATCCAGACTCCACAGCTCCAGAGCCAGGAATATCTGCAGAAAGTGATAGGAGGGGAGAGGAGAGAGAAGGGGGACGAGAAAGCACAAGACTACAGGGAAGGGAGAGAGTTCAGTTAGTGACATTGTTAATGGAATGAGGTTGCACCGGGAGGGAGAGAGAGAAAGGAAAGGGAAGAGGTGCATCATGGGAAATCCCCCGGCGGTCTAGGCCTATAGCAGCACAACCAGGGGTGGACTTACTCTAACTATAAGCTCTATCATAAAGGAAAGTCTTAAGCCTACTCTTAAATATAGAGACGGTGTCTGCCTCCCGGACCCAGACTGGAATCTGGTTCCACAAAAGAGGACTCTGATAGCTGAACGTTCTGGCTCCCATTCTAGTTTTCAAGACTCTAGGAACTGCCAGTAACCGTTCATTCTGGGAGCGCAGTTCTCTGGTAGGGCAGTAAGGTACTAAAAGCTCTTTAAGATAAGATGGGGCCTGACCATGAAGAGCTTTGTAGGTAAGGAGAAGGATTTTAAATTCTATTCTGGATTTAACAGGAAGCCAGTGCAGAGAAGCCAAGACAGGAGAAATATGATCTCTTTTTCTGGTTCCTGCACGCGCTCCAGCATTCTGGATCAGCTGAAGAGTCTTA